AAACCAAATGCTTCTGTGGCAACTGGTCCTCTATTTTTCATTGCGAATTTGATCTCATACATCACTGGAGACAAACTTTGGTCTAAACTCCCCATTTCTCCGACGCCATAAGGAACGGTGACATTTCCCCATGACTCTCTTTTGGTTCTGATCATGAATAATATTCTCTATAGAATTAAGAATATCATTTCTATACCTTCTACGGGTGTGGCTTTCGAAGACTGAAGCAACTGATGCGTTGATGGAAATCCCCAAATCTATGACCCCTCTCGCTCCAGTAATATCAATCAACCGTCCCAAAGGAGTCCAAATATCATACCAGAATGATGTTGCATAACCGCTGCACACTTCTACGGTATGAAAGGTTTGAGCAAGGTCTCGGAGTTTCAGTAATTTTCTCCACATCCAAGAGCCTGCATTATGATTGAATTTAACTGACCAGAAGGATTCTTTTCGAATAAGGTACTTATTTACCCAATCAACCCAAAGTGATGTACGAGCAGACAGAATCCTCCAGATAAGTTTCAGATTGCAGACTAGATTTACTTCTGTGAGGAGCCGCAGACCCAGTCCTCCCTCTGCCTTCGGTTTGCAAACATCTCCCCAATAAATTTTGATTTTTTAGTGCTTAACTCGGGGCCTGACCAGAGAAAAGCAGCACACAGACTTTCAATTTCTCGTAAACAAGCTTTCGGCAGTCTGAAAGACGCCATCCAGAAGTTAGTAATGCTGGCTATTACTGAACTTATGAGTTGTAATCTTCCTGCTTAAGTCACGTATCTTGTTGTCCATGAAGAGATTTTGTCTTTGATTTTCTCCAATAGAGGAACATAATCAGCTCGACTCATCCTCTTTGTGAGCAAGGGTAATCCGAGATATCGTACTGGTAGTTGTCCAACAGAGAATGGGAACTTATTGATGATCTCTGATCGAACTGAATCTTTTACACCTGCAAGGTACAACGTCGATTTCTGCATACTGATCTGTAAACCCGAAGTCCTGGCAAACTCATTAAACACTCGAACGACTTCCTCCAGCGATCTTAAAGTACCATCCGTAAACACCATAATTTCATCAGCAAAACAAAGATGCGTCATTCTCAAGTTTTTACACTTGGCGTGATACCCAATTTTCTTCTCTTCCGCTGCCTGGTTAAGTAGGTTTGATAATATGTGCACGCTCATGACAAACAAATAATGGGATAAGGAGCACCCTTGTCTCAACCCGCGACTACTCTGAAAATAACCTGCTAGTTCCCCATTCACTTGGACTGAGAAGGAAGGTGTTGAAACACAGAGCATAATCCAGTCGATAAACATCGATGGGATTCCCATAGCCATCATCATGGTTTGCAAGAAACTCTATTGAACCGAATCAAACGCTTTCGCAATGTCAATTTTTATTGCACATCGGGAGAAATATTGGGTTTGTGGTAGTCCTTGACTAGTTCAGTGCTAGTAAAACATTCTCCATTAGCAGTCGACCTTTGACGAAAGCAGATTGACTAGGAGAGATGAATTCTGGGAGAATTTCTTTCAAACGGTTCGCTAAGATTTTCGAGATAACCTTATATAACACATTGCAGCAGGAAATTGGGCGGTAATCCTTCGCTTCATCTGTCTTTGGTATGAGAGCTAATATGGTTGAGTTGATTTCCTTTGGAAGAAAGACCTTAGTGAAAAACGATTGAATAGCAACCGTAAAATCTGGTCCAATGATGCTCCAGGAGGCTTTAAAAAATTTGGCTGTATATCCATCTGGACCTGGGGATTTGCTAGATGGCATTGCAAATAGAACACTTTTCACCTCCTCTATAGTAACATCACGAATCAATTGAGTACACTCTCTTTCCGAGCATCGAAAGTCTAGCAGATTCACCAATCTCTCCTCTGTTATGCCCTCATAGGTGGCTGGAGTAAGAGTAAGGAACTCTCTAAAGAACCGCTCTGCCTCTTGTTTGATTGCTTCTGGAGTGTTTATAGTGTCCCCATCTTGGTCTTGAATTTCACGGATTGAGTTTCTCGACTTCCTTACCGTTGCCGCTCGGTGATCGGTTTTATTATTCCTATCTCTCACATTCAACCAGTGTAATTTAGACTGTTGCTTCAAGAATTTCTCTTCCAAATCCGCCACATGTGCCCATCTATCATAAGCTTGCTTCTCCTCCACCATTGCAGTTTCAGATGGAGCTGATAGATTGGCGTTTTGTTTGTCACATAACATGTTTAAAGCCTCTTTAGCTTTCTTCGAAAGATTACCCAACCTCTCCTTCTCCAGTATCCTCAGCTTAGATCTCAAGCCTTTTAGTTTCTTAGAGAATCGATGCATCGCTGAGGTTGACTGATATAACACAGGAGAATTCTCCCAGAACTCTGCAACTGTCGGAATAAAGTTCACCAGTGAGGTAAGAGCGTTTACAAATTTGAAAGGCCTCTGCACTGTCTTCTCCTCCACCTCAAGTGTAATCCTGCAACGCAAATGATCAGAGCAACCCCTGCCTCAAAAACACTATACGAATTCGGATACGCCTGCAGCCAATTTTCACTGATGAGAACTCGATCTAGATTTTTGCATATTAAGCCTGCTTCCCGCTTATTGCTCCATGTGTATCGTGGACCATGAAAGTGCATGTCCAAGAGTAGACAATGTCGTGTTATTTCCTGGCAATCCCGTGTTCCATGTGAGATGCTTGGGGAATTCTCGTAAAGAGAATGCTCATCTCCTGCTAAAATTTCGTTAAAGTCTCCCATCACCAACCAATTCTTATTTTGAAAAATTCTTGAATCATAATGAGTCTTGAGGTCCTCCCAAAGAGCTTTCCTCTCATCATCTAGATTAAAAGCATAGACGAAAGAACAGAAAAATTTATCTTCTCTTTCGTCCAGAAGTACCGAAACCGTGATCATCTGAGCACTTTTAAACATCGGTGTTAATCTAACTCCTTCTCTCCAAACCACCCAGATTCTTCCCAGAAGGCTGAATTCATAGTTTGTCAATAAGGACCAATTTTGAAAAACTGAGTGACATATTTGCTGCGACTTGTCTTCCTTGACTCTCATCTCTAACAAGCACCCAAACTGAAAAGTATTATTTTGTAGCCATTGCTTTAGTACGGAGTGTTTTTCTGGCTTGTTAAACCCCCGTATATTCCAAAAGAAACCAGACATTAAGAGTGATTATTGGTACGAGCATTCTTACTCGAAGTACCTGGAAGGGTTTCCTTAGTACTATGAGCAACATTACCCGTCAGGTACTTATGTGCTGATTTGGACTCACGTTGTAGCAGAAATCGGGTTTGAGTTACCTTCCCTGATTTCTTCGTACTCCGTTTTGTCATCTTTTGGGTTATTTTCTCAGGTCCTTCATCAGAAACTTTAGTGTCACTCGATTCTTTTCCTTCAGTGGTCTCCTCAACCTCTATTTCAGGTTGGTTTTCTTCTACTTCAAGGATAGCGAAGCGGGATGGAGAGGACAGATCATCATCCTTGGTTTCCAGGATACCCTGTTTTTCTCTCTGTTTCCGAGTTTTTGATGGAGAAACATGTGTCCATGGAGCAACATCCTTGGTTGAAACAGTGACATGTGCTTCCCCAACAGTCTCTTGAGTATCTACAATTTCACCAGGCTCTATTTCAGTTTCATCTTAATGTAACATTGTATCCTTTACTCCATTGGTTTTATAGTTGAGTGTCGCAGGGGTATGCAGATTTTCCCCTGTTTTATTAGATCCCAGAGTTTGTTGGATCTGTTTACCACCTGATATAATCTCTTTCTTTTGAGCGATCTTGACCCCTGAACCTTTATTCACTAGAGCTGCTTTAGTCTGATTAGTCGGAGCCTGAGTTGTAGTGTTGGTCTGTCGGAAACGACATTCCTCACGTACATGTCCCCATTTCGAGCAGGAATGACAACGTGGTGGTAACCATGGATAAACATATTCCACAACTGCATCAATATTTTTATCCTATGATTTGAATCGAAAAGCCTTTGGCAGCTCTTTTGTCAGATCAACTTCGACAAATACTCTAGCCTCGTCAAAATTCTTACACTGTTTTGTGTTGGGATGATGTCTTTTCGGATCCCCAACTGGACTCGATAAGAATCTCAAGCCATCCCACGAGAACATTTTCCTTGGAACATTTTTCAAGACCACCCACATAGGCAGCGTTTTTAACTCCGTTTGTGCCTCTTCCACCACCAGTGACCATTTGGAGACAATCATCGGTACATCTGCTATATTCCACATACCACGTCGCAGTATTCTCGCTCTCAATGAACTATCCTTTTTCTGAAATTCTACCGTATTTGCATCAACAACAAACACATCAACTCTGATTTCTTTGTTTCCCAATGGCCAAATTTTATTGACTATGATATGGATTTTGGCCACATGTGGAGCAGTCGATAAGAATTTGCTTACAAGGAAATCCTCCCACAACAGAACTGAATTATCAATGAGACGATCCAGTATTTCCACATATGGAGAGCCCTCCAACTCACCAACCGTGAAAACGTGCTATAATAGATAAGGTTTGTTTTGTACGATCGCTGACCAGGTTTTCACTCCATCTTATTGGTTTGAGATCGGAGTCCCCCCCCCTCCCTCTTGCAAGTCTCCGACAACTGATACCTCCACTTCTTCATCAACTTTTGATACCCGACAGGAGTATCCTTACCCAGATCACCTTGTTTAGAACCATCAGTTGAAAGGCCATGAGACTCCTTCTCTGGCGTACACATCGGAAAACCAGCCGACGGCTGTCTCCGATCGTTGTCTCTCGAGGAAGCAAAAGAAAACCTTAGAATCGCTTTATCAATCGCTCATTGCCACGTCAGCCTTAGTAAAAATCCTCCACTTATTTTAAAATTTGATGTTTTTTTTTTTTTTTTTACTTTTTTTCATTCTTTCCTTTCAACCACCAACAAAAGCCATTTTCACAAGAGAATAGTAAGCTTTTGACAATTAGTTTCTGCAGGAAATTGGAAGATATTTAATTAATGACCGCAACAGTTTTTACAAAAATCAGATCAAACTTATATATACTTTTTCTCAAACCCCAAAAAGTAAAATAAACAAATTATGGTGCAACCGCTTAAAGAAATGACCGTTAGAGAGAGATATAATCCTCCTCCTCTATATGAAAAACCATTTCTATTATCTGATATAAACTTTCTCTAACTTAGTAAATGACATCTTAATGATCTGAAATCTCTCACTCACATAATCTTTCTTACGAAATGCTTATCCATCAAAATGATTTCCAGCACTAAACATGGATTCATATGAAAGTAAACAAGAACCCCCGATTGCTAAAAGCACCTTCCAACCTGATAAATAGTTCATGTTTCATGATTCCAAACATAGAAGAACATGATTAATTCTGGCCAATACAATGTCCTGTTTTAGTTGCTAGACAGTGGAATTTCAAGAAAAATATCATACATTAGAGATGATTCACTTTCTTTCTTTCTTTAAATGGTGGAAACAGAGGCTTTATGGGATTCTAGGCTGTGATGTTCCATAGATCGTCTAAGACAATCAAAGATATATACTAGTTTCCAACAACTGAGAAAGTGGAAATTGACTGATAATCACCAAGCAAACATAAATTCAAAGTTGATACCAGTCAAGACAACAATGTGGATACACTTACGACCAATTTAATAAGAGATTCTCTTCGAGAGATATGACTACAAACCATAAGAATGGGAACAAATCTAATAAAATCGATTTAAGTTAGAAAGCATTCATTTTCTGTAAAAAGAAAGCATTGTAACTGAAAAATACCATTCTGAAAACAAGCATAATACCTTGTACATAGTCTGTAATTGTTGAGAGCCTCATTCAAGCTTTACCCCTCCAAATCTAACCGAAGGGATGTGTTGGACTTTGTAATAATCTTCTCCTCCTTCCGAAAGTCTCTTCTTCCATTCCTCTCCCATACTCAGATCTTTTAAGGAAGTGGTGAATCGTAACCCATCAGGAAGATCCTTTAATTTTGCACAATAACTTATATCTAGAGTATGAAGAAATGGCATGGAACCTTCTTCTACTAGCCACTCTTCCCACTCCTCTTGTCTATGTAGGTATAGCATCTGCAACTGAGGAAACCCATCTTTCGAGCAAACCATTCTCCTCCCACAGAAAGACCTTTTCCCTAAATCAACCACTTTCAAGTGAAGCAGCTTTTCTAGAATCGGCATTGGATCCTCTTTCAAGCGACAACCAATTAGAGATATGGTTGTAAGGTGAGAAGGAAGTTTCTTCTCATTAGGTAACTTTGGCATATATATACCCAACTCCAGCTGCTTGAGATGAATGCAATCCAAAACAAATCCTTCTTCATCATTATTGGGAGCATACACCTTGAAATGATTGTAATCTATACTAAGATTTTCCAGGTGTCTCAACTCACTTAGAGATGAAGACAGTGTTTGCATAGTGCACCCCTCTTCGTTGAATATGATTAACAGATTCCTTAGCCTTTTCATACATTGAAGATCTGCCACACTGCAATGTTTCGTTGAGAAAAACTTCAACGTCTCCAAGTTTATTAGGTTACCTAATTCTAACTTTGTCTTATCATGCATTCTCCCTGACGGTAATGAAAGATATCTCAATTCTTGCATCCCTTTCAAGATATTAGGCACATAAAGTGGACATCTCCCATATAAGCATAGGTTTAAATAAACCAGCAGCTTCAGATTCCGCATAGAAGAAGGTAGACGAGATACATGTGCCTTATATAAACTCAAATATCTCAAATGGATGAGCTTTCCGATGCTAGAGGGCAACTTCCCTCCCTCAAACTTGGCCCGAGAGAGATCTAACACCCTCATCAATTGTAGCCTGGAAAATAATAAACCCGATGCCATCCAGTTTGAACCCCAAACAAACAAGAGGGATCTAAGGCGTGGATTCCTCACCTCCATCTCCACATTAAATGTTTCATCAGGCCGATGTATAGCGAGTCTACGAGATTTAGAGTTTGTAGTTGATGTACCATGAACAATTTGTAGGAAATTCTCTTCGTTGGCTTTAAAAAGACAAACTTCTCTCATCATGTCATGCAAGCGACAAGTTTCAAACCTCGAAGTCCTACCATCTCTTTCAGATATAACCATATTTCTCTTAACCAATTCTTCTATGTAGGCATCTGCAACATCTTGAATGCTTGCTCTTTCATAATAGTCAGGCTTTGGTATTCCTTCTGCAGCCCAACAATAAGACAATTTCTCCACATCTATTGGATAATCTTCTGGAAAATTGGCAAGGTAGAGGAAAAAATGCTTCAAGAAAATAGGCAACTCTTCAAAGCTTAGTGACAATACATAGTGAACTGAATTGTGATTTTCGTCATTAAAGCTAGTTCTTCCTACCAGGTGAGATCCAATATTCTCATAAACTCTTATCCACTCACTTAACCTGTTTTCAGCAGCTAACAACCCTCCTAACACTTTGACAGCCAATGGTAGTCCTCCACAATGTTTTATCATTTTCTTACCCAATTCTTCCTTTTCTATATCAACCTTGAACTCTGCACATCCAATTGGTATTTAGGCTTTAAAAGTAAGATTTAATTCAACTAGACATAAAAGAGTGTTTAACATTAATTAGCGTGAAAAACATATCTTAGCTAGAAAGCTTACCTGATTTGTATTTCTTAGAAAATGCAATCTTCCGAAAAAGTGTCCAACTTTCTTTGGGGGTTAGGCATTTTGGTGTAAACGTGACACATGCTGCACGTAATGCAACATCCTCATTGCGAGAAGTAAGTAGTACCTTCCATCCTGAAATGTATTTCTCTTGTTATTATTCTTGAACAAAAGGGAAAATATTGCAAGTATGTGTTTTTCCATGCTCCCAATTTATTTTAGTCAAGGAAAATAACAGCCTTATGTATGTAACATTAGATGTCACCTTTTGTTGGCGGAAACATAGGCTTTATACTCTCCCAATCTTCTTCTTTCCAAATATCATCCAGGATAATCAAGGACTTGCTGGTTTCCAATAGTCGAAAGAGTTTCTCCTGAAGCTCATCTTCAGTCATATCTGAGTCTTTATGTTCATCATGTTTTGAACTAAGCCTTTGTAAGATCGCCTGCCACACGTATTTTCTTGTAAACTGTTGTGAAATACACACCCACACAACTCCATCAAAATGGTTTTTTACCATCTCATGATTAAAAACTTGTCGAGCCAGGGTAGTTTTACCAATACCACCCATCCCACTTATAGAAACTACTTGGATGCTCTCTTCCTCTACCAAGTAACCAACCAATTTCTTCACGTTTTCCTCCAGACCCACAAGAACACTTTCATTGTCGCTAGGAAAAGTGTGTCTCAATTCCCTTTGTCTTTCTTGAAGATGTTGTGAACACCTGCCATCCACAATCATCTGTTGCACCCCAAAACTCTGCATATCTCGGATCACCTTGGAGATCCTCGTACTTAAGCCTTCGATGTCGGACACAAGTTCCCTCCGATCCACTATAGTGAAAGCAAGCCTTCTCGTGTGCTTCATGATCCCACTTGTTCGTCCAAGTTTGTCCTTTACAAGAAAGGTTTCGATTACATCCTCCGCGTCAAAAACTATTTCCTTAATCTCTTCCACACTGTTTCTCACCAATGCACTTGCATGTTTCTTAGCATCTGCATCTTTCAAAAAGGACCTAAGCAAGTTTAGATCAGTTTTGAGCTCAGTCAGTTGCTCACCAACTCCCTTAAATCGATCAGTTTCTCGAGCAAGGAGGTCCCAAAGCTTCTGAACTCCAAACGACAAAAGTGTATCAGCCATAAGTCTCCGCGTGAAAGTAGCAGTTAATAATGGAGATGATCTTCTCCTTCACTAGAAAGGATAAAAGATAAAAGTTATTTCACAAAGAGTATTATTATTAAGATCTATGTACTAATTTTCTGTAAGCAAGATCCTCTATGAAATATAAGTAAAATACAAATAAAAGACAAGCAAAACATAGAAAAACAAAAATGCAACGACTCAATGGAACGAACTCTTTCTTAAGATCTCAACCGTTACAACGACTTAATTTAGCTTTTGAACTCCAAACGACAAAAGTATCTTGTTTCAGAATTTCCTGCTTAACCATGAAAGTAGAGGAGGATCTTTGCAAAATTTACAGAATTAGTAATTTAGTATATTATTCTGTGGGATTTAATCCACTGATATTTGTACAAAGACATGAACATTACGGAGATAATAAAAACAAATTTAAAATACAGCAGATCGAATCAAAACAATTGAGATACCTTGATGGGGATGAAAGAATGGCGACTTAATTATTGCTTCCTCCAGAGAAAACTAAAGAAATAAAAATAATAATCACCAACATACCTGTATAAATAATGGGTGTATTTTAGTGTTTAGTTTACAGTTTGCTAAAAGATCGATTATAAGAGTTGACTCCAACTCAACACTGACCGACGACCAACCGTAGTGAAAATGATGTGTGAATCCAAATTCTTTGGCAAGAAAGTCTTAAAAGCAGCTATCAAAGAAAGAAAAATGAGGGTTTATATTTGGGTTGACTTCGGTAAACCCCCTAGATTTTTAAACTGATCATCATTACCCAAGTTATAATAATGGATGTTTCATATTGGCAAAAGATTTCCTTCTCTGCATATGTAAAGAAGAAATCCCCTTAGAAGAGAAAGAACAGAAATTCATCTGAAGCAGCAAACATGTAAAAACTCAAACACTCAGAAGCTATGGACAGAGGAAACAACTAGAGCAAGACTCCTGAGAGTTTGATTTGACGTGAATAATATGGATTAAACACAAACCAGTCGTGGAGAGATCTTGATTTCTCTTCTTTGATTATGAAGAGAGGAGTTCAAACTAATAAAGGTTATTCTACTAGTACTAGATCTCTCTTAAAAAATCAACACAATTTTAATTTTAACTTGGTATAACTATCAAAATGTCTAGCTTCAAGGAATATATATCATTTCTACCAATTTTTCAGTCTCGTTATGATTATTGTTTCTCTGCTGATTAAGAATGGAATGTTCTTATTTTGAGATGTGTAAACCTTTGGTTAATGATGATGTGTGAAACATTTGGTTAGAAAGTCTTAACGGCAATCTACTGTTGCCACTTCCTACTTGCGACGTGTTACTTTACATTTTGGTTCAAAAAATAAAAGGTTTGTAACTCAATAAAATTGGTCCAGCTTAGTGGGATTCATTTTTCTTAACTCTGGTAAAAATATCTTGTGTCTTACAATCACTTGTTTGATAATTTTTCTGCAGAAACAAGAGAACATGAGTATATATAGAAACATAGATTGTTACTATCAGCACCAGCAACAATCACTTGGTGATAGGAATAGGATGCTAATTAAAACAAATTTGCTACTGAGCCAAGAAGGAACCTTACCTCATTCTTACCAAATCCAATATGTGCATCAAAGTAATATTTAAATTAAGGATTAATAATTGATGCTTAAATCTGATTTAATGAAGCTGGCATTTCTTTCTCTGCATAAGTAAAAAAGAAATGTCATGAGAAGGGAAACAACTCACAAGACTCAATTCATTTTAGCTGCAACATGTACGAACTCAGAAACACTTAAGCTGGACAGAGGAGATCACTAGAAACAAGATTCTTGAAAACAAATTTTAACTGCAGCTGAGAACTAATAAATACAGTCTATTCTAAACCAAATAAAACAAGAAATTCTAACAAAGCGAAAATATCAGCAGACATACTAACTAAGCGAAAATGACTGTTTATTTATGCATGCCTAATAGAATTTCTTCCCTAACAGATATCGTAAAAGAGACGCCTGCATGAAAAACGTATGTATATATTCTCAACAACATCAATAATTAGGCAACACTTAACAGAGGTCACGATATAACTTACCGTGTCTCATTCATGGATTGCTATTAAAAAATTAGAATGAAGCATGACAAAGAAGAACCAACAATTGTAACATCTTTTTTATAAACAATGGCTTGCGGGAGAAACAAACAATACTGCTTTTGCTCTTCCGTATAGCATTCGAACAGAAGATAGAAGTTTAATTGGGAACCAAAACACATCAAAACAATGCAAACACACAAAGAGAAAATAAATTCCTTTTTCTTTGTGAGAGAATATATTACCTGCAGGTTGTTTATTACTAGAGAGACTTAGACTATATTCAAAACAGGAATGTGTTGGATTTTGTAGTAGTCTTCTCCATCTCTGGACAATTTCTTCCAAAACTCAAATGTATGTGTGTTCATATCCAGTTCTTCCAAGGAAGTGATGAACCTCATCCCATCTGGAATCTCTGTTAACCTTCGACAATTACGAATAGTTAGAGTATGAAGAAGAGACATGGAGCCTTCTTCTACTGTCCACTCTTCCCACTCATCTAGTCCTACAAGATTTAGCTTCTGCAACTGAGGAAACCCACCGGGCGAGCAAACCATGCTTCTCCCGCAGAAAGATTTATTCAATAAACTAACTTCATATAGAGGAAGAAGCTTCTCTAGAATCGGCATCGGATCCTCCTCTAAACAACAGCCGCTTAGAGTTATGCTTGTGATGTGAGAAGGGAAGCGTTGCGCATCAGGTAACCTTGGCATATATATACTCATCTTGAGTTGCTTGAGATTCATGCAATCCAAAAAAAAACCCTTCTTCGTCATTTGTGGGAGCATACAACTTGTAATTATCATATATAGTCAGATTTTCCAAGTGTTCCAATCCACTTAGTGATGAAGATAGATTCTCCATTGTACACCCTTTGCCGTTGAATGAGATAGAGAGTGCTTTGAGACGTGTCATACCCTGTAGATCCCTCACACTCCCATGTTCTGTTGAGAAATTTTCCAATGTCTCCAGGTTGACTAAATTACCCAGTTTCATCTTTACCTTATCATGTATTCTCAAAGGAAGAAAGAGGTTTCTCAACTCTCGCATCCTTTTCAAGAAATTGGGCATGTAGATTGAACATCTCTCAGCTATACACAAGTTTAAATAGAGCAGTAGCTTCAGTTTCCGCATAGAAGAAGGTAGATGAGTTACATGAGCCATATATAAACTCAAGTACTTCAAGTGAATGAGATCCCCGATGCTAGAAGGTAACTTCCCTCCTTCAAAATGGGCTCTAGAGAGATCTAGAACCCTCATCAACTTTAGCCCTGTGAAGCATAAACCTAATGCCATCCAATCTGTTCTTCTGTCCTTCAAGATAACCAATAGAGATCTAAGTTTTGGATTATCCATCTTCTCCACATTAAAAGTTGTTGTATCAAGCCGGTGTAAAGCGAGTCTGCGAGATTTACTAGGAGATTTAGAGTTTGCAGTTGAGGTGTCGTTAACAATCTGTAAGAAATTCTCTTCTTTGGCTTTACGAAGACAAACTTCTCTCATCATGTCATGCAAGTGACATTTTTCAAATCTCAAAGTCCTACCATCTCTTTCTGACATAACCATATTTCTTTTAACCAACTCTTCTATGTAGCCATCCGCCACATCTCGAATGCTTGCTCTTTCATAATACTCTGGTTTTGGTATTCTTTCTGCAGCCAAGTAGTAGGACAAATTTTCCACATCTATTGGATAATTTTCTGGAAAGTGGGCGAGGTAGAGGAAGCAATGCTTCAGACGACTAGGCAATTCTTCAAAGCTCAGAGATAATACATGATAAACCAAACTGTTGCTGTCGCCATTTAAATTAGTACCTCCAACGATGTGAGATCCAATATTCTCATATATCCTTTTCCATTGATGCAATGTGTATTGCGCAGCTAACAAACCTCCTAACAGTTTTACGGCCAGCGGTAGTCCTCCACAATGTTTGATCATCTGCTTACCCAACTCTTCCATTTCTTCAACCTTAAATTCTGCACAACATTATCAAGCATATAATCATTATGTCAATATATGGTTCAAAAGGATCATACGTCTTGGAGATCTTATACTCAATTTATTTAAGGCTAAAAACATCATTGTTAATAATGTATTTGAACAAAAAAGATTGTCCCTCAAAACTTACCGGTCATTTCATTTCTAGGAAATGCTATCCTTCCAAAAATTGTCCAACATTCATCGATAGTAAGACACTCTGGTTTAAAAGTGAAACATTTTGGATCTGCTCGTAATGCCACACCCTCGTTGCGAGAAGTAAGTAGTACCTTCCAACCTAAAAAGAAAAATGCATGTTTTTATCCTTAACAAAAAAAAATAAAAGGAATGTTGATTTATGACTTCTCTCCTTTTTTTTTTCACTCAAACAAAAATCTATGAACTTTAATAAGAAAACCAATGTTACCATAAGATGTCACTTTTTTCTCGTGGAAACATTGGTTTTATTATGTCCCAATCTCCTTCTCTCCATATATCATCAAGGACAATCAAAGTCTTTTGTGTTCCCAAGAGCCGAACAAGTTCTTCTTGGAGTTCGTCTTCTGTCATCTCTAACACCTTATATTCTGGCCAGACTTTCCGCAATGTCGTCTGCCACACATACTCCCTTGTAAACCGTTGTGAAACACATACCCACGCGAGTCCTTCAAAATGATTTTTTATAGTCTCATGATTAAAAACCTCTCTTGCGAGGGTTGTTTTACCAATACCGCCCATCCCGGTTATAGAAACCACTTGACTATTATCTTCCTCCACCAAATAGCCAACCAATTGCTCAACATTCTTCTCCAACCCCACAAGATGGTCTTCATTGTCGCTAGAAAACGTTTGTCGCATTTCCCTTTGTCTCTCCTCTTGAGACTGTGTATACCTTTCATTGACAATGACCTGTTGTACCCCAAGACTCTGCATATCACGGATCACCTTAGAGATCCTATATCTTATGGCTTTCATATCGAAAGCAAGCCCAATGCGATTCACAATAACCCTAGGAAATCTTCTCACACTGTTCATGGAGCTACTTGTTTTTCCCAGTTCTTCCTTTAGGAGAAAGATTTCGATTATATCTTCGGCGTCATAAACAATTTCTTTGATCTCTTTCACAGTGTTTCTGACCATTGCACTTGTATGTTTCTTGGCATCTGCATCTTCCAAAAAGCACCTTAACATATTTAGATCACTCTTTAATTCATTGAATTGCCCATCAACTCCCTGAAGTCGCTCAGATTCTCGGACAAGGAGGTCCCAAAGCGTCTCAACTCCAAAAGACAAAAGTGTCTCGGCCATAAGTCTCCTGCTTAAACACGAAACTCGCAGTCAATAAATACCATAAAAAGGTCCATAAGCTCATAATTCGCATAATCATTTCCAAAAATTCACAGACTATTTTCTTGGATTACACCGACAGATCTTGTACAGAGACATGAAAAAAATTGAGATAAGAAAATACAAAAGATCGAACCTCCTGGAGATCGCTTATCTTCCAACTGATCTGTACAAAAAATTGGCGATGTCTTTTTTTAGAGTTTGTTCAAAACTCTGCTAAAGATCCATCCGAAGATAATGTGTCAACTGTGAAGTTAAGTCAACACAACTGGTGAAAAAAGATGTGTGAATTCAAAGAACCAATTTTCTGACCGCCGGCAAACAAAAAAAAAGGCAATCTATAGTAGCCAATTCCTAATTGCCACGTGTCATTTTACATTGAAGTACAAAAGATAATGAGATAATAAGATTTTATTTTTTAATATAATAAATATGTCCAGTTTAGTGGAAATCATTAACCAATTTAATTTATACTATAAAAGATGGTCAACTCTCTCCATATGAGTGTCACCTCATCATTTTGGTTTATTGTGAAAATGACATGTGTTCTTTTTAAAAATTAAATGATACAAATTATATAAAGTACAGTTAATGCATAAATTTAATGTATTATTAATCATAATACTAAAAGAATATGAAAAATATGAAGTATTAGAAAATATATTCTAATAACAGTATATACTTAATATCTAAAAACAATTATTGAGTATCTATTTTCTGGTAGTTTTTTTTAAAATCATTTTATGTTTCTTATTTAAGAGTATTTTCTTACTTCTAGTTAATATTATAAGTTATTATTATAGAAACAATTATACAAATATAAAAATAACAATTATTTGATATTTTGAACCTAAAAAGTTAGAAGAAAAATTTATACAATATTATAATAAACTTTAAAACAAATTCTTTATAAACTAATAATTATGATAATTTATTTTTTCCAAACTTGATCTATTAATAGTTTTTGAATTAATAAGATATCAAAGTCTTGATATATTTATTTATAAAATGTTTAATGTAACTGTATAAATTAAAATTATAAATCAATTATTTAAGCTCATAAAAATATAAAACGACGGTGTTGCTATTGTGTAAATATGCGCCATGAATAAATACAACCTGTTAAAAATGACCGTCTCTATCTATGTTGTGCTTGAAAAGTTTCTTTAATTAATTATTATTATATAGTACTTTTTTATTTTGCAGTATATCTATTTAATATATTCTATATATACAAAGTATAAAATATTTCACATTTCCTTATCAATAAACTATTTATCACAAATATAGTTAACATCAAATACATATTATATGTTTATTCAAATACACAACATCCTTAAGAAAAATTTAAATATATAATAAAATAAATTGTAACTATACTTTTTAATAAATTATATTATGAAAAAGTCGGTGCATCGTACCGTACTCATCTAGTATGAATCAAAAAATTCTTTAATTTTTTTTAGACAAAATAACATGACTGGTGAGTATTATATAGCAGCCGAGATTGTTACTATTAGCACCAGCAACAATCACTTGGTTGAGAGGAAGCTAGAACAATGCAGAACTCACAAACGCTTCAGACTATGGACAGTGGAGTTACGTAGAAACAAGACCGAGGCCATCGCGTACAGAGAGCAGCTGAGAACTAAACAGAAAAGAAAAAAACAATAACTTACCACTAATCGTAAAACTTTTCTATAACTGCAAAAAAAATCCTTTCTACAGTGGTATGTGTTAAAAATAAAATAGTTTACCATCTTTGTTTTCGTAGTAGTAGAGAAGTTGAGGCATTAACTAAAACAATTACTGTTTTAGATTTAGAGAAAAAAACAATGAGCCAAGTATCTGACCAAAACAATCGATAGTTCATCCCAAAAAGATATCTAAACAAAAACAAAAACCAAAACCAAAAGAACACACGAGACTTGAGTAAAGAAAAAGAGAAAGCTTAGTCGACTTCCTCGATCTTGGGACCAGCACCTCCGGCAGAAGGTGGAGCATCATCGTCCATTCCTCCTGCAGCACCAGCTTCACCACCTTGGTACATCTTAGCTATGATCGGGTTGCAAATGCTCTCAAGCTCCTTCATCTTGTCCTCAAACTCATCGCACTCCGCCAACTGATTCCCTTCAAGCCACTCAATAGCAGCTTCGATGGAGTCCTCAATCTTCTTCTTGTCATCAGCCGCAAGCTTCTCACCAATCTTCTCGTCACGGATCGTGTTCCTCATGTTGTACGCGTAGTTCTCGAGAGCGTTCTTCGCTTCGACCTTCTTCTTGTGGTCCTCGTCCTCCGACTTGTACTTTTCCGCTTCCTGAACCATTCTCTCGATATCATCCTTCGACAACCTTCCCTTGTCGTTGGTGATTGTGATCTTGTTCTTCTGTCCCGTCGTCTTGTCCTCCGCCGAAACGTTGAGGATACCGTTCGCGTCAATGTCAAAACAGACGGTGATCTGGGGAACACCTCTTGGGGCAGGAGGGATACCAGAGAGCTCGAATTTACCCAAAAGGTTGTTGTCTTTGGTTCTTGCTCTCTCTCCTTCGTAGACTTGGATCAAGACTCCTGGTTGGTTGTCTGAGTAAGTCGAGAAGACTTGTTCCTTCTTTGTCGGGATGGTTGTGTTTCTTTGGATCAAGACGGTCATGACTCCTCCAGCAGTTTCAAGACCGAGAGAGAGTGGTGTCACGTCAAGCAATAGAAGATCTTGAACCTTCTCGTTACCCTCACCGCTGAGAATAGCTGCCTGAACAGCTGCACCGTACGCCACGGCTTCATCGGGGTTAATAGATTTGCAGAGCTCTTTACCGTTGAAGAAGTCGAGGAGTAGTTGCTGGACCTTGGGGATACGGGTGGAGCCACCGACTAGGACAACGTCGTCGACGGAGCTCTTGTCCATCTTAGCATCACGGAGACACTTCTCAACAGGCTCCATACACTTTCTGAAAAGATCCATGTTCAGCTCCTCGAACCTAGCGCGGGTGATTGGAGAGTAGAAGTCGATTCCTTCAAACAGAGAGTCAATCTCGATGGTGGTTTGTGCGGTGGAAGAAAGAGTCCTCTTTGCTCTCTCACAAGCGGTTCTCAACCTCCTTAGAGCTCTCGGGTTTCCGCTAATGTCCTTCTTGTTCTTCCTCTTGAACTCTTGCACAAAGTGGTTCACCATCCTGTTGTCGAAATCCTCACCACCGAGATGAGTGTCTCCTGCAGTGGCTTTAACTTCAAAGATACCTTCCTCAATGGTTAGAAGAGAGACATCGAATGTACCACCACCAAGGTCAAAGATCAAAACGTTCTTCTCCCCAACACTAGTAGCCTTCTTGTCTAGCCCATAGGCGATGGCTGCTGCTGTAGGCTCGTTGATGATACGCATAACGTTCAAGCCAGCGATCACACCAGCGTCCTTTGTGGCTTGACGCTGAGAGTCGTTGAAGTAAGCCGGGACAGTGACGACGGCGTTCTTGATCGTGGAGCCGAGGTAGGCTTCAGCAATCTCACGCATCTTGATGAGAATCATGGAGGAGATTTCTTCAGCGGCAAACTCTTTATCTTCTCCTTTGTAGTTTACTACAATCATGGGTTTGTCTGCAGGTCCCGGAATGATCTTGAATGGCCACAGTTTCATGTCGCTTTGAACAGAGGTGTCACTGAATCTACGACCAATCAACCTCTTTGCATCTGTTGCATGAAAAAATCAAAAACTATGAGTAACAGAAAGGAATCTCTTAAGAGAATACAGCAAAAGGGATACACATAGTTATAACAAAAGCCTTTAATTCAGTGAATGAAGCAATCAAATCGACAAATATTCCTACGAAACCATGAAATCATCACTAAGCATCTTCCGTGTAAAGATCTAACTTATATAACCTAACTTCGATGCGAACATTCGATAAACTCTCAAGAGAACGCAGCAAAAGTGATACACATAGTTATAGCAAAAACCCTTAGATTCTAGCTTGAGAGTATCAACAAAATCATAACGAACAAGTTCAGTCACGAGTTCGATAATCCTATGAAACCTTGAAATCATCACTATGCATCTTCCGAGTACAGATCTAGCTTTACATAACATAACTTCGATATAAAAATTCGATAAACAGAAGCAGCAATAGAACAATCAGAGGAAGAGGAAACGTACCGAAGACAGTGTTGATAGGGTTCATGGCGACCTGATTCTTCGCGGCGTCACCGATCAACCTCTCGGAGTCGGTGAAGGCGACGTAAGACGGCGTCGTTCTGTTACCTTGATCATTAGCAATGATCTCGACACGGTCGTGTTGCCAAACTCCGACGCAAGAGTAGGTAGTTCCGAGATCGATACCAATAGCTGGACCTTCGCCTTTACCCGCCATTGTTGAGCAAAGATTGCAAAAATAAAAGTAGAAGATGAAGGTTCGAAGACGAAGTAGAAGAGGGCGGCTAGGTTTTACTTATTTTCCGGAAGATGTGGTCGTAGGAGAAGGCTATATAGAGGTTTCGGGCTCATCTTTCGAGAATGTTCGATGGCTTGTTTTGTAGCCGTACGATCTTTCGGAGTTTGATCAGACGGTCGCCGAACGATTCTTTTCCCACTTTTCCTTTTTCGACCTTGAAAATTAAACAAAAAAAGGAATGAAGCCGTTTAAAAAGTTCGAGAACGTTCGATCGATGATTTATTTTTCAACTCAAAGAGAGACAAAGGCCAAAGGCCCAAAGAGAGTGAGATAAAAGCCTTATTAATGAAAGCGTTTTAAAATATGTGAATCGGGTTTTGATGTAGATTTTCGACCAAAGTCCCCGGTTTCAGCGGTTTTAGACTGGTTTTGGCGGTTTTACTCAAATCCAGTTTTTATCTTTATTTGTACGCGGTTCAACTTTAATGTATGATTTTCGAGCAAACTTGTAGTTTGACCGGTTGATCTAGTTCGGTTTTTGGTGATGAATCTTCGATTACGATCGCTAAACCGGAACCAAACCGCATCGTCTCTCCGTTTTGAGCTCGATGTGATTGATCAAATGAACAATTAGTAATGCAATTTCGAATGCGATCTGTTTTGCCAGAATGATAAAGCAATTCAAGTGTGATTAGATAACAAAATTAGTGAATGGTAAAAATAGAGGAAAACGAAAAGATAAAAAATAAAAAAGAATACTCACACAGAGTTTTTTAGGTCTCGGTCAATCATCCCTCTATGTTAATTAGTTGTAGCATAGTATATGGTTTTATATCAATCCAAATGGGTTTGTTGAAAGCAGAAAAGTTGCAAGCAGAGATCTATAAGTCAAGCAAAGCAAAGAAGAGTTTTTGTTGCCTAAGCAACTTGTTTAATAACCTAGAATGATCAATCACCAAAGAGGATTCAAAAGAAGACAGTTTAGCAATGATTAAGAAGGAAAACAGAGCACTTAACAAATTCGAAATTCAATAAAGAGAAAACAAGTTCCTAGATGTGGTTATTGATATTGGGGAATCTAGAGACTAACTAAGGTTTTTTCAAACAACATTGATCAAGCAAACAAGCTAGCAATGGTGGTTCATAGACATAGAGTTCACAATCAAGCAAGCTAAGTCCAATCTCTTGTAAAATAGCCATTTACTAAACATCTTAGCAAGATCTAACTCTTATTAGTGCTAAAAAAACATCTAGCAAGCAATAGCAAACAACTCTATTCATGTCAAAATGCTCCTCAAACAGTCAATCTCTTGAGCTAAGGCCAGCAAATCCTCTATCAAACAAGATCAGCATTTCATCAAACACTTGGTGGGCATAAGAGAAAGCCTAAATTCTAGATAAGTGTGATTCTATCGGTCTGGAAGATGATCGATAGGGTAACCAAAATATAACTGGTGCACTGCTATCGTTCACTTCACTGACCGATAGGCATGACCGATAGGGATCCTATCAGTCACTCCTTGACTGATAGGTCTTGTGCCTTGATCGATAGGCTCTGCAGAGATCGTCTGCCTTGCTCCCTTTTGCTCCTCTTGGTCCAGCTAGGTTCCTGGATCATCCTAAAAGCTTCTCCATGCTCCTTATGACTTCATAGGTACCTAAAAACATCCATAATACATAGAAAATGCAAACTATGTCCTAAATGCAACCTAAGTTTAAAATGAGAAGAAAATGGGACAAAAGAAAAGGAAAACATGCAAAAGAGAACCAAAACATGTACTAATTGCAAGCCTAAATGTTGTAAATACAAGGGATATCAACACCCCCACACTTGCCTTTTGCTTGTCCTCAAGCAGATAAGAACAAATGAGAGAGTGAGGTTTGAAGGTGGGCATTCAAATTCAAAAGTGCAAAGGTAAAGAGATGGTATCAATGCTTAAGTGTCTAGTTGTAGGATGCAAACATAATCAGCTATACTTTAAAGAACCTAGCCATGCTCATCATGTTTCAAAATGATCTCAAATCTCAACTTAGGCAAATGCTCAAATCAATCAACTCTTTAACATTCAATTAAGCTCAGAACATGAATCATGCTTATGCAAATCAAGTGAAGACATCTGGTTCAAAGGGTAAGGTTATGAGATAAAAATGATCTCATTTTTTTTTTTGAAGTGAATGTTAAATTAATTCAAACCAAAAAAACCAGTGTTGCATCAAGTGCTACATATGTATTTTGTTACAATACAAAGGAATGTTTTGTTTTTGAAAATCAGCTTCGGGTGGCAAACCAACGTTGTAACGCTAGTTCATATCTTGTGTCGCATCGCCTGATGGAGGAGATTCGGTTACGAATTGTTTTTTCAATGAGGCGGAGTAGTTGATCACGAGGCAATGCGGGTTCGCCATGTCTCCGGTTGTTCCTCTTTTGCCAGATGTAAGAGACTGCAGTCTGAAGAGAGTATCTAATCAGGAAGGCGTCAATGAGTGGGGATGTGAACTCATTTTAGCAAAAGGGTTTTCAAATACAAGGGATCACTCAATGAAAAAGATTCCATCTTAGGCAAAATGCTAAAGGTAAAAGCACACATATGCATACAATTCAAAGCTCCCTTCTACCCAAAGATGAATCTTAAATACTTATAAACCCAAAAGTGAACCCCTAAGTCTACCTTTTTCCTAAACTTTACCTTTTACCCTTCTTCATGGCTGGGGAAACTTCTCTTTTTGCTTGTGTGGTTGCTTCCTTTTAGTTGGACTTGCTCTTCTTTGTTGCATTGGCACCTTCATCACCTTTGGTGGATTGCTCTTGGTCTAATTTTTCTTTTTTTGACCTTTCTAAGCTTTGTTGCTGGCACCTTTCTTCTTGACACTTAGAGCTTTTACTTCCTTTTACTTAACCATAACTCTAGACTGTTTCCCCTTTTTCTACCATTTCAAACCTTTTCCTTTTCTTTCAGATCATATATACATGAAGTTCAAACCACTTAACACTACCCTTTTAACCCAAAACTCCTATCCTAGAATCAAGCTCAAGGTGCAAGCTGATATCTACAAGAGAGCTTATTATTGCAAGCCTTATTACTAACATTTTTTTGCCAAGACAAAATCAAAAATAATATGCAAAGGCCTCACAGCTCTCAAGATAGTGTTTAGGCTCAAAAGAAGGTTTTGGTTAAGGGAGTGGATTAACTGTCTCATAAGTATGAGGATCAGCTATTTGGATCACTAAGAGTGATAGAAAGGAAAAAGATGATCCAAATATATATATGGTAGCCATGAATTCACTTTCCAATGCATAAGACATGATAATTAAAAGTCCAAATTAAAGTGCAAGTTGATAGAGTTGAGAACAAGTGCTTTCAGTATGAGATGAGATGATCAAAATTAGCATTCCAAGCATGGTTCAGTCTTAACTTCTAGCTTTCTTATGATGCATCAAACAACTAATCACTTAAACACTGAAATCATCTCTAAACTCTAAGCACTTTACAAGGAAATTTCATCATTATGCCCTATGCAAATGCAATGCAACCTATATGTACTCAATCCTAGAAGAATAAAATGTAACTATATGCCTTCTTTTTGGTTTGCAAAAATGGAAATTTTTTCAATTTTTTTTTCTTTTGTTTTCTATGTCTTAGATGAATGCATGATGTGACTCAAAGTGAAAGAAAATGAAAAAATAAGAAAACAAAACACAAAGTCAAACCCCAAATCTCTCCCCCACACTTTAATTACACAGTCCCTTGTATAATGATAGCAATGAGAGAGAGAAGCAACAAAATATAATACAGAATTGAAAAAAATGCAATGATATAGACAATGGATAGGATGTGGTACCTTGTTTAATAAGTGGAGTGGTGGGAGGATCCAGATGTCTGAGGAGACTTGCTAGCTCTCCTCTTGTTCCTCCTCTCATAAGTCTTTGAAGATGGCGCTGATTCTTGTAGTGGGGGAACCCAGCTTGACCATAACTGCTCAGCTTGAGATGAAGTACCTTGATTACCCCATTGCCATGTTTGTTGAACCTCAGAAGGGATGGGAGTTGGTTCCCATGCTGATGGAATATGGGCCCTTGGCTCATATGATGAAGCTCTTGGTTGTGCCCATGTCCCCCATTGATCACTTGGCTGTGCATGAAAGGAATGTCTTTCATGGGGGTTCTAAACATCCTCCTCTTCTTCAGTTGGGTCAGCTTGTGGCCTTGGCTCTTCTTGATGAGGAGTGTGCTCATGAGTGTGGCTCTGATGGGAAGTTCTTGCTGATGTAGCTTTGTTTTTCTTGAACTTCCCTTAAACCATTTTCACCAAACTCTTAATGGCCTTTTCTTGCCACTTACACCATTTTTGGAGGGTGTTGATGTGTTCATGAGCAGGCTTCATAGAGCTCTCTTGGCTTGGGCCTCCATAAGGTTTGAAGTGGAACTGCTTTGAATTGTAGCTCAACACTTCATTTTCATCAAGCTCATCTTCTTCTTCTTGTGTTTCCCCTTGGCTTTCAGCGCCAGCAGTAGCATCTTCATGGACTTCTTCTTGACCTTCTTCTCTTCTCTCTTCTCTTACTTCTTCTTCAACCTCTTCTTTCTTCCTTAATAGCTTCTTCTCTTTCTTCAGGGACAGGGCCGCCTTGGTAGAGCTGATCATCACTTGGATCGAAACTGATGTTACTCTTCATGGTGATGGATGTGAGCCTTGGGTTAGGGAGGAGGATTCTTGATGTCTCTTCTAAATCATTGAAAAACTTGTAGACATGCTTGTCTTGGATGCTCTTCTCAATGAAATGGCTTCTCTTAAGATAGTTCATATCTATCCACAATGGCTCCAGAGCAACATCCTCATATCTCTCAAAGTCCACTCCACTAGCCATAAGAACAGCTGTCACAACTCCCCCAATATGGAGTTGTGGGTTCTCCTTTTTCCCTTTGTACATGACCCAGTTCTTGTAGGTTAAGAGTTGCTCCATCAGCATGTAGACAAAGCATGGGAGCTTGGCTGGTGGTTGTAGGGTTATTCCATTTCTGCTGGTGCCTACAAGCTCATGCATCCCAAAGTGCAGCAAATCTCTCTCCTTTCTAGTGAGGTTTGTTGTTTCCTTTGTTGCAAATAATGTATTTGCAATCACCTTATGAGCATACCTCACTGCTGGATTCTTGAGATGTTGGTTCCTTGTGGTTCCAGCTGTGAAATTTTCAGCCCCAATCTTTCCCCACAACAA